GTCCATTGTCCGCAAAGGTGGGAGCTGGTCAGCTTTCAGCTAGCGTCCTTCACAGCTAGCCAGTGACCAGTAACCAGAACCAGTGTGTGGCAGGAGGCTCGCATTCAACTTCAGTCAGGGCCATTTGATAAAAGTACCCGGCTTAAATTAGAAGCCTTTACATTGGGGGGACCAGCCCCACGGACATGTCTAACTTGAAAACGCCGTTGCATGTCATTCAGGTGGAGTTGGCGCTGGCTGGGCGACGAGGTAAACTCTATCGTGGAGGCGTTCCAGATTGAGACCCTCCAAGATTGGGGGCTGAGCTGATCGGGGCGGTGGGTCGATTGGACGGGGGGAGACATCGTGAAGCCAACAGAGGTGTAGCACCGCAGAGTGCAGACTGCAGGTACTGTATATAGACGTTTGGGGGCACAGCTGCAGCGCGTAGTGCAGGGGCTGTTGTATCAAGGGGCCGCCGTGAGGGCAGTGTTGGAAAGCCGCGGGTCGTAAGCCGAGCTCTTGAAGCACACGGCCAATCTGCCAATGATGGAGGCACGTCGGATCTGGCAGCCACGCTCCATGGCACGACGGCGTACCTAGGTAGCACACGGCCTCGAGCGTTGTTAGGGCACCAACACCTCCATTGCCTTGCATCGCAGCGCAGCGCATCCCCACTGCCAGCATCCGCCAGCACTATTGCATTCTGCCTCGCTTCAGCGCGTCCTGTTCCGCTGCTTGGCTCGTGCCATTTACCCTGATCGCTGCCCTAGCATCCACGATTGGATGAGGCTTAGCAGCATCGCGCCTGCTGCCATCATCGCCTTCACATCCATCACCCATCCGTGATTCACGCTCTGCGCTGCGAGAACAAGGGCCAACGCATCTGCATCACGCCTCTTGCCACGCGCACCTCCCGCAATCAATACCCCCAGGCCCTCCGTCGGCGCCGGGCGACGTTGTTGTTGGTTGCACCTTCTCCAGATCCCGCGCCTTCCTCATCAACTTACTGGGGAAGGCACCTCCGCACGAGCCACTGGCAGCCCTGGAGTCTCCGATCTAGCTCACCAAGACGACCCTACCAACCATACAACACCACCACCACCGTCGCATTCCAAACCCCAGCCCGTCCTCGCGCGCCAGCCCGACCCCGCTCCCATTGCTGCCGCCGTCCACGCTGGCGACGACGCTGCCGCGCCCGCTCACCTCGCGAGGCCCCCTTTGACGGAGCTGCGTGTCGGATTAAGCCGACCAAGCGTCACCACAGCTCCAGCAACGCGCCAGCCGTCACGCCGCCATCCGGACCAGAGCCTCGCTCGCATCACCGCACACATTCCACACCGACGGTTCTGCGACGCGCTGAGCCTCGTGCTCCATCATTATCCCGCGCCCGACTCCCCCCCAACGCCCGCGGCCGCGAGCCGCACCACACGCCGGCATTATGGGCATCTGCATGAGCACCAACAACGACGATGTCGAGCAGAAGAAGCGCAGCCAGGCCATTGACCGCAAGCTCGAGGAGGACTCGCGACGGTTACGGCGGGAATGCAAGATCCTGCTGTTGGGTGAGTAGCTCCAGCCTGTCTGCGTGCCAACGCAATCATTAACACACCCTACAGGCTCCGGAGAGAGCGGAAAGTCGACCATCGTCAAGCAGATGAAGATCATACATCAGAACGGCTACACGCAGGAAGAGCTCGCCATGTACCGCCTCACCATATACAAAAACGTCATCGACTGCGCAAAAGCCCTCATTGGCGCCATGCGACAATTCGACGTTAGCCCCGAGAAGCCAGGCAACGCCCAACTCTGCGACTACCTGCTCGACTACACAGTCGACCCCGACCCTGAGAAGCCCCTCGATGTACGGGTAGGCCAGGCCATCACATCCATGTGGAGCGACCCATGCGTCGGCAAAGTCCTGGAGCACTCGAGCGAGTTCTACCTCATGGACTCTGCGCCATAGTATGTTTGCGCATCATCTCCCCGTTTTTTACTAACGCTTGCAGCTTCTTCGATGAGGTAGAACGGATATCCGACCCCAATTATGTACCCATCGAATCCGACGTCCTACGAGCGCGTACCAAGACCACCGGTATATACGAAACACGATTCACGATGGGCCAGCTCAGCATACAGTATGTGCGCCCCTTCAAACCGTGCTGTGGCTGTCAGGCTAACATGAAACAGTATGTTCGACGTAGGGGGCCAACGGAGCGAGCGCAAGAAATGGATACACTGTTTCGAAAACGTCACATCAATCATCTTCTGCGTGGCATTGAGCGAATACGATCAAGTCCTGTTAGAAGAAAGCTCACAGGTATGTCATTACGTCGAGCTCCTTGACTCCCACTGACTCGTGCCTGCAGAACCGAATGATGGAGAGCTTAGTGCTCTTCGACTCGGTAGTCAATAGCCGGTGGTTCATGAGAACCAGTATTATCCTGTTCCTCAACAAGGTCGATCTGTTCAAAGCGAAGCTTGCGCGATCTCCACTTGGCAATTACTTTCCAGATTACTCTGGTGGAAATGATGTCAATCGCGCCGCCAAGTACCTGTTGTGGAGGTTCAACCAGGTCAACCGAGCACACTTGAACCTGTACCCTCAGTAAGAAGCTTCCCCTCACGAGCCCCTCACGCATGCTGACCTTATTAGCCTAACACAAGCCACCGATACATCCAACATCCGGCTCGTCTTTGCCGCTGTCAAGGAAACAATACTGCAGAACGCGCTAAAAGACTCCGGCATACTATGATCGTCTACGCAGCACCGACCCCAACTCTTGACGGCCACGCATACGAACTATGAGTGCTCCGACATGCTCAGCTTCCTCCTTCCGCCATACCCATACATTTACATAATACACGAGCCCTTTACGATCATTACTCCCGATCGTGCCATTCATGATGCACATCCTCGGTCACGAAACGGGAACTTTGGGAGATATCATTGCCTCTAGCTATCATACAAAGAGCGCAGCATTGGTGTTTTTGGCGTTTAAAGATTCCCTGGGACCTGCTCCTTCCTTCTTGTCTTGGATAATGGGCCTGTTTTTATCGGAACATAACTTCTTTCTGCGAGGTCGGATTTCTTCGATTGCTGAACCTTGGTTGCCCTTTTACCTCACCCGAAATCTCGCTGTTCTTTTTCCCGTTTACCCAATATGTCACTATGGACTGAGAGAGATAAGCCGGAGGAGAGAGGCCAGAGAGGAAAAAAAGTTGAATGCGCACCCCCATTCCGAATTCCCCTCCCCAATCAGTACGGGGTTTCGCCCGCGAGGAGAGAGGACTTGTATGCTATATAGTCTCTCTTTTACGATATGCCTTTTATTTGTGTCTTATTCGATCACATCTTTTTTTTTTTACTTTTCTCTGTCTCTCGCGTCATGGTCAAATAACGGAGGAGGAACTCTCGACAGTTTTATCGACTCATAACTACGACGGCCCTTGTGCGACGGTACGGTTTCTTCATGGCTCCCCCTGATACAGCGTTCGCGCAGATATAATGTACGCCACCGTTTTTCGAATACCATTACAGATGATATTGAAGTGCATATAACAAGTATGATTCATCGTGTCTTCGCACTCGCCATGAATTGAAGCAACAACACAAGCGCGTGAACTAACACCTGCTACCAACACCAACTTCCATCTTCCACGTCTAACACAACAAATCACAGTCACAGAAAAAGCACCCGGATACCGAACTCGGATATCGGAAACGTTGATTGGTGGCTTTATCCTCCCTTCCTTCCTTTCGCGCAACAAAACCAACCAACAACCTTACACCCTGTTCGTCAAATTCCCATCATCACAATTGTATGTAATCAATATAACCCGAAATAGTCGCGCCGCAACGTGCCGAAACCGCGCGGCCCTCTCTCTTTGTTGCGTGCGCATTTGCGCAAAAGTGTGATGAGTGAAATAAGCTTCCAAGGTTCACAAAGAAATGCTAATCGGTGTGTGAGAGATTTTGGTAGGTGGGATCGTTGTGCAATGGTGGGAAGTCTGGCCTGGGGTGTAAGTCGGCGGTTTGGTTGGGGAAGGGATGGGGGAACTTGGAAGGGTAGTCGGGATCATGTGATTGTTTGGCGGTGCTGGGAAGATGTTTGGCTTGGTATTTCGTTTGTTGCGATAGCGATGTTTGACTTAGAGAACTTCATACAGCTTTTCTCTATCGGAGGTATGCAGAGCTCGACATCTCACATAGAGAAGGGAGCGAGTTATGTCAGCATCAGGAATACTCATCACAAATAATGAGACGGGGTCATTTCCTAACCGCTCTCGACCAATGAGGCGCTCACGTGCTTCCTTCCCTCCTCCTTCCCGCAACGCTACTTTTACGGTGCATCAGAAATAATCGCATACACTGAATACAAACTCCGTCGTGTCAGCGGGGGAAGGGGCGGGGCGGAAACTCAAATTGACAAGCTAGTCTGCGCATGTGATGGATTGTCCGCTTCAGGAAATGACATGCGAAAACACGAGTGGTTGGTGGGGGGAAGAAGACATTATTACGAGATACAAGTTGTGAGCTGCCATTCAATACGCAGTTTTAGGTTGTGAGGTATGGGGGAATAGTCGTGGTTGTTCTTACGGCTATTATCGTGAAACCGCTTTGCCGTATGAGGTATCCGCAGCCCTCGACATTACCACAACACCACATTACGGAAGAACAGCATGAGAAGCAAGTGCAGGTTGTTGTGATGTTTGGATTCATGGTAATGTGACTTGTACTGTTCAATGTACTGTACTGCCTGCCTGTTCCCGGCGGCTAGTCAACCCCCCCAAAAGTAAACGCCTGCCCATGCCCACCCCCATCCATACCCTTAACGGCCGTGAGGGATCTTTTGTGGTATATCGACTTTTGTATGAGAGAGAAAAAATGAAAGTCATGACATCGTTAACGCCCGACCAGAACTCCTCCCGCTAGTTCCATGATGCTGAATCGCTGTCAAAGGCGTATAGGGTGTGTTGCTGCCTGCAACTCCATCCGATAGAGGTAATCGTCCACACACTCAGTGCTTGTTGGACAAGAAAGTGTGCTTCTCAAAGCTCATGCGCCTCTGCCTCTCAGCGGCACTCATCTCCGAGGAAGAGGTCGGCGGAAGCGCATGCTTTGCATTAACCGCAAGAGGAGCGAAAATCTTAAGGCCAATGACTGGTGAATCGGCAGCCTTTGTGGCGGGAGAAGATGGCGCGCTGATAGTACTAGTCTCGGAGGGTGGGGCGGCAACGCTGCTGGTGATGCTGGAGACGGAGGAAATGGACTGGTGGCGCGCGGGGCGGTTGGATAGAAACCCGTGAGCAGGCACGACGGGCTCGGTGGGAGATTGAATACCGGGGCTGGCTGCCTTCTTGACGGGAGTGTTGACAGTGAGAAAGTTTTTCGGGAAGGGAATGTGGTAGGTTGAGCTAGTGGAAGACATTGCGCCAGATTGGGTGTTGGTTCTGGTATGTGTGTGGTGAGGCGTTGGTTGGAGGTGATGTTGGTTGGAAAGATTTGTTTTATGGAGAGGTGATGTTGGTGTTCTGGAGGACGACAGAAGGTGGTCGGCACTTCTTATATGTTGCCCGAGAGATTATCAATTGTGAAAGTTCTCAAGTTCGGTGTTGTGCGTGGGTACCGTGGGTAGCGCTGCCAAGCAAGTTCCGCCGGGGCTCGCGTGTGTCAAGTGACCTCTGTAACTGGCTGGAGCGTTTTGATGATCTGCCAAAAGTAAAGGTCCGACGCGCTTGAGTCTCCGGTGTATCCTGCCTAGTGCGTAGTTTAAACGTGTCTAGCTTCGTCTAGCATAAAAGAGCTGGAGCCAAAAATCGAGAGGAGGCCTGGGGATGCAGCGCGGGATGTTGCAGATGCTTCCGCGCTGGGTCTTGGCCGTGGAGCTGTAATTGACCCTGGCGATCGTATGGGTCCGGTGCACTAATGATGTTCCGCTTTAGATGGCGCGGTTCGTCCGTGGATTGATAAGACTGCAGAGGACACTTGTTTCGCGTGCGTAAGCGTCCGGCTGCGTGTACAATGGTACGTGTATGATCGACGCAATTTGAGGCTGATAGTGGGTTCGAATGTACTTGGCAATTCTTGTCCGCCAGTGGGAACGGGCTGCTCGTGGATCTGGGGTCTCCGTAGATGGGGAGGTCTGTGTGTTTTGGTTCCAGAAAGGTTTTAGGGATGTTGAGACAGGTCAAGTTGGCTTGGCAGTCTCTACGTTTTCGACCTCTTGGGCGACTATCAAGATAACTTGGCAAAAGGTTATGCTGTTTGACGCGGCAGGGTGGAGAATTCAGCGATTCGTAGCGGAAGGAGAAACAGATGGAGCCAGACTGAATTCTTTTGGACTTAAGAAGGGAAGGTATAGCCTTTCGGCAAGGACGACGCGCCTCGGTCCAAGGGCACTCAGCAGGCCTGACCAGTCCGACTAGGAATAAGTAATCCGAGATAGAAGCGACGCGAAGAGGCGCGTGAAGCAAGCTCAACCTCTTAGAGCCGTGCATAGCTGTAGAAAACTGGGATACGAAATCTCAGCATGCATACCCGCTCTTTGCAAGCCGGACGACATGCGGGTCCTCACAAGTCAGTCGGTGCGCAAGCGCTAGATGCTGAGATGAGTGGAGCGAGAGTTAGTAAAACCCACCACGTTGGTGTAGCTAGAATGCTCTCTGGTTAGATCTCGTGGGATGTTTCTGACCAAGCCAACGCCGCATGGAGTAAGGGGATGACGCGACCCCTACACGTCGCAGAAGCACGTTATGCTATAGGGCCAGTTTTTCTGCTCATGCTGAGTACACAATTGGCCTTGCATAACAAGGCCGCGCTCACTCAACGCCAATGCCAGTGCCATGTGGTACTAATTTGCTTTTCGATGAACGTTCCTGGGGAATCTAGCCGGTGACGAGGCGCGTGCCTCGCATCATGCGGGGGTGAGGACAGGCCGCAGGCGGATCCGCGCCCCTGTATGTGTCTTCAGTGAGGGTAAGCCGAAGATAGCCTGGTTGCGTAGGAACGAAGGAGTCGTCGCTGGCGCCATGGTGTGATGAAGAAAAGATGCTTGGGCTGCTGGCGGAGCTGACAGACGAAAATCTTCCGAGGCTTCCTTCGGTCTCAGGTGACGCTATCTGCTACCTTATCTCCGTTTTTCCCTACTAAGCGACCTGCGACAATCCACGTAGGTAGTCGCCCGCATGTATTCCCTATCTGCCTGCACCACCACGCCTCCAAAGCTCCAGACCTTCTCAATTTGACATCTACACGATTCAGGCAGAAGATAACGCTACTACGCCTCCTGTATTCAACCACTGCTTGCTTGGCAGTTTAACCATTTATTCCACCGGGTTTGTGCCGAGACGCGTAGCGCCTCTGCACCTCTGTGTAGCATATTCTACAACTTACAATGATCGTCAGTGTGCGAAAGACTGGGGTGTACTAGAAGGGATGGCCATTGGAGAGTTCCCTGGTCCAGCTTGCGAGTCCAACGGTCGCCTTATCTCGACTTGTGCCCTGATGGCGTGTACGGCAGGCCAACCGGAGTCGAACGGCAAGCACTACGCTCAGACATGGTGTCGTGCATACGCCGTTGTTAGGACAGGCAACTGTAGTCCGCGTATAGCTGTCAAAATCTGGCTAGGGTTGGTCTATCCTATTGCCAATGGATGTGGATGACTATGACTGTGGCAGGCCCAGAAGTGTTCAAAAGAAGCTACACACGAGTACAACCCAGAACTCTTCCTCAGAGAATGATGCCATCGAAGAAAACTAGTACCTGCCCAGAGATCTCATGCCAAGGCAAACCACACCCATCTCGCCCATGCAGCAGCAAGATCCATCGCATCCTACGAGGCAATTCTCCGTACCTACGTAACCCACACCCACCTTAACCGGCCTTGTCGCGCACTCCGCCCTCCACAAGTGCATTCCATACCCTGGATCTTGCCACACTTGACTCTCGAATACACCATGATAGCGGCGGCAGCTGCGGGAGATGCGCACTAAGCAACTCGTGTAACAAGCGGTGAGGACGAGACCAGTCCTTGACGTGCAGAACCCCAAGTGGGGTTGCCACCACCCTTTAGCGTGGGGTGAAGATTCCGGTGTCCGGTGAACGGAAAAAGTAACGATGTGGAGTTGTTGGTAGTTCCCTGGCTAGATATGGAGAATAGCCAACAGGTTATATGTCTGGGGTACAGTTGCGTTGGTTTCATGTATATACCGTGGACACAGAGCGAGGCACATGGAATGGCATTTGTTCTCGACAGTAAGCCAGATATAAGAACCAAGGGGTATCGATAGAAGCTTAAAGCTGAGATTTGTAGGCAGTAGAGGGTGCATGTCTATACTAACTACCCCATCCAACAACAGCATAAGCAGTCAGAATAACACAATCTATATGTACAAGAGCCCTCTCACGCCCGACGTCCCATGTTAGGAGGCGCCGGGCATTTTCAAGGGGCGCTCTAGCTGGTATTCACTCTTCCAACGTTCCGTTAAGAGTACACCGTATCGTATCACGGGACTCCTGCAGGCTCAAGGCCTGCATCGTTGGTGTTTGTCTTTTGTGGTTCAGGTAGGCCATTGACACCTGCGGGGTTTTCACATTGTCCGGCTGCAAGCGCGGACAAAGATTACGTGAGGAAGGAGAAAGAAGAGAGAGTAGACATCAATGACGAGTCTGGTATCAATACTGTCTTTCATGTTTGCAACTTACTGCATGTGTGGCTATAAGCCTGATAAGGTATCTTCTTCATCGTTATTCATGCCACAATATAGGCTTTTCGGTGCCTGACCATAACGCCGTGTCGACCTTCAAAGCCATGTGGTCGGTACCAATACGCCTTGCTAACCATTTCCCCAAATCCTAGATCCGTCATTTTCCCGTGTTTGATGAGCCCGTGTGCTAGTCGTAGTGGAGGAAAAGCTGGCTCATGCTCTCTCCATGGTGGTTTCTTCGAATCGCCTCTGCTAGGAGATTGTCGACGTTGATGACCACCAGCTTATCGGGGCTCGCCTGCGCGAGCTTGTGATCGGGGATCGGAAACGCGTTCGTGATGACGATCTTGTCGATGACATCGCAGTTGCTCATTTCCTCAAGACAGTCGCCGCCAAAGATACCATGAGTAGCGAAGCAGTAGACCTTTGTCGCACCACCGCGCTTGACAACAGTCTCGGCAGCCGCAATCCATGACGCAGATTTGTCCATCATGTCGTCAACAATAAAGACAGGGCGATCCTTGACGTTGCCGACAAGAGTGACCATGGTCTCGAGCTCGGGGTTCTTGAGATCCTCTTCCTCATCTTCAGATGATGCAGCGGCGTCGTATGTGCCACCGAGGGCATGCGAATGTTCGGTGTCCCTGTTGCGGGTGGAGGAGGTAGTCGAGATGAAAGAGGACATCATGTGCGAGGGTATATCGTCGTTTTCGCCTTCGGACGGAGGGCGGTTGCGCCAGGTGTTGGTCGATGTCGCGGACATTGAGGGAGAAGGATGTGTATCGTCGACAATATGGCCTTGTACTAGTCGTCCGTGGATGACGTTCCTCGCGCGCTGCAGACGTTAGCTGTATTCAACAGACCCTTTCAAGGGAACATACCTCGTCAGTGTATTCCTCGGCGCCGCTCTCATCTGCACTCTGCTCCTCAGGTTCTTCCCTGTTCTTCTCGACATCTGTTCGAATGGGCTCCAGCGGTACCTCAGGCTCGACGATGGAGCCTGCGCGCATACTCTTAGACAGCGGATGGCTCCCGGTCGGCTCTGACCATCCGTTGGCTCGCCTTTGCAGGGGGTTCGACGGTACGCGCTTCAAACTTGACTTGCCTGGTTCTGCCTTCGAGTCTACCGTCATCTTGGAGATGGGCGTAATCTCAGCGTCGGCATCCAGCGCTGCCTCGACCAGGTCGTCGGGGGTTTCGTATGAGCCATCCAACCGGAGTTGCTCGAACATGGCGCTCTCGTTCCAGTGCACCGCCGTGCCTGCCCTCCGCCTGTCGGTTGTGACAATACCAAAACTGAGCTTTAACGCGTCCGCCAGAGACGTGACGCGCTTGGTGCCACCAGGGTTCTTGCTAACAACGACGGCTTCCCTCCAATTCGGCACGTTGACGCGTATCCAGCGGGCGAGGAGGGGTTCGGCGACGAGGTTGTCGACAGGGCACTTGAAGAAGCCCTGCATCTGGGAGGCGTGGAGGTCGATGGTCATGACATGGTTCACACCAGCGATGTGGAGGAGGTTTGCGACCATGCGGGCGGTGATGGCCCCGCGGTGCTGCTTCTTCTTGGACTGGCGCGAGTATGGGAAGTAGGGCATGACAGCTGGTCATGTCAGCAGCTGGCAGCGAGCCTTACAGAGGCCAAGTACCTGTGACCGACTTGGCTGAGCCGCCTTTGCAGGCCGAGATCATAATCAGCAGCTCCATGATCGAGTCGTTGATTCTGACCCATTAGCCGTTGACGCATACCAAGGCTGGGCTGCTCACTTCTCGCTTCCACTCTGGACGATGAAGACATCTTTGTTCCGGATCGAGGTATCTGGAGACGCTTAGCACGTGAAGGCGGCGAGAGTGCTAGCCAACATACGAATGGTGACGGAAGTCTCTCCGTTCTTGAACTTGCCCAGCGTCGCGGAGCCAGGCTTCGTGCCCAGCCTGTCGCAGATGCCGTCGACGAGCTTGGGGTGCGAAGACCCGCCAAAGACGAGTGCGCCCCTCATGGTGGGCGGGCCGAGGAGAGTGACGTTCTCGTAGTGGGCAAACTGAGGTGAGGGCTGGTGAGGACGCCGGTAACGGTCGTGCATGTCAAAATTGTTCGACATGCTAGCTCAGATATCCGCCCGGGAGGGGTTTAGCCCGGCTCCACTTTAATGACCCGATGCGGATACCCCAACCAGCAACGTGTGCCTGACTCGCGAACAGCAACGAGCAGACGGCTGGACAACTTGTTAACGACCAAGGAACCTACGGGAGCGGGAGACCAGGCAGGAGCAACAAGATCGTTATCTGCCTTTATGCAGACGTGTGCATCAACTAGGCGTCTTACAAGCTGCTGCAGCGCTGTCACACGACCACATCACATTGCTTCCTGGCCAACGGTGCGCGCACGATGCACTTAGTCGCCTTCGCAGACGCAATGCATCCGACTCCGCCTCTCAATATTTCATTGGGCTTCAGCGCGTTGTTATGAGATATAAAGTCGAGAATTGGGCCGCAGCATTCATGTTGAGTGTCTCCCTCTGACGTGGAGAGCTCTCAATCAAGGACAATGTTGTGTCACTGTAGTGTGCGATTGGATAGGCTTGGTCGTTGTTGAGGTTCTGCGCAAGTATATTGGGCGTCCAAAGCGTCATGGAAGATATTGCAACCATCAGGCTTGCCACGGATGGGGCTACGAATGTGTCTCCAATGACGTGGATGATCAAGCAGGCATAGAGTCGACGCCAACAAGACGAGGTACTTTCAAAGAATATACAACTAGGTTCCCTCAGGCATCCACTCGCCAGCTATATCTCCACATGGATCGTAGTTGTGCTTTCTAGACAGCCTCGCCCTTAAGCAAAAGACGTCGTACAAGCTCACCGCTTGCTTTGTGCTCCTGTGGCCCCGGTGCTGTACGTTGCTCAACCTGGATCAATCCCCACACCGGAACTCAACCGATTCGCGACTTTCTTTGTCGTAGCCGTTATAGTTCCCTTCCCAGCTTCATACATGCCCTCGAACCGGTTTAGAAGCGTTAGTGTAGCTGTGGAGGCGCACGTTGACCTTTGCTCTGATCGCGCGAGCTGCAGACAACCGTTGCCATTTGCAACGCTGATCCACAGTAACCATGATCTTCGTACTTGCCATGTACATACGAATGCGGGAGACATAGATTACGACGGCTCCTCCCGAAGCATCCACATAGCTGTTCGTGGAGGTCGATCCGCTAGAGTCGGTTTGGCGGCAGTTCATAGAAGCCTTCCAGGTAAATAGTGGGTGCTCTGGGCGTCTGCATCCTTTCCATAGTGCTATAAGGATAATATCGGACATAGGCGGTGAGCTGGTGTCACCATGACAGGTACGTACCATGAGTCTGTAATAGGGAAATTAGCCAACTGCGTGCAAATGTGGTAAATGGAAGACCGTGATGGTGCGCAAAACTGAAGAAACGGCGCCTTATCTGCCTGCATCGAGCGGGAACTTTCTCGTCCCACCATGGCATACACCGAAAGAAGAACACCAGCGCTTTATTTGGGGAGGAGCCGGACCATCGCAATTCCCTCTATTTTCATGATCCTCAGGTAGTGTGATGAGCCGTAAGGCTGAAAATAAACACCCCGATTGGCTGTCCAGCACACAGTATGCGGACACTAGTTTGCACGGTCCGCCTCCGAACGCCGGGTCTCAGGTATGGTGCAATGGCTGGCATGTCCCTCGATGTTGCTGTGCGTGGGACGCGTTTGCATTGACAGAAAACGGCGTACACAACAGCAATGTAGAGCGGCTGGCCAGCCAATAGAGGCTGCAGCGGGAGAGAAGCGTATCCAAGAGCCTGGTTCGAGGTCGTGATAAAGCTTAAGAGCGGGTGAGACGTTGTGCTTCGTCTGACGCGTGCCCGAATTTGTTGGTACTCGAGCGTGGAAAGTGGTGTGATCACGTATCATCTTCAGATGTCGGTTGAATCGCCGATTCTGAACTACCCAACGCAGAAGCATATCCTCCGAATCCTTGTCTGGAAGAGGGGCACCTGGGAGAAACATTGGCAAGCCGACAATGAGACCTCGGCGACCATATGGGTCTACACAGGAAGCTGCATGGTTGAGAAATTAGGTCGCGTTACAAGAGTGTCTGACTGCCATGATGCATGGTGTCAAGCCACAAACCTGGAGGCTCGCTGCGAACGGGGCTTTTTGAGCAGCTAGCGAAAGCCCCCGCAAGCACTTGCCATGGTAGAATTTGAGAGGTCGCGTGGGTGTGAGCCAAGCGTGCTTGGCGTGTTTGCGGCGGGCGATGGAGCTAGCGAGAAGAGGAAGTCACACCGTCTGGGACTGACGCGCATTCGTCCACACGCAGGACGCCACACGGGCGCCATGGTCACAGCGGACGTGATGGTTGTCGCGATCTTGCATTGTGGCACCGAGCGCCAGGTTCACTCCGATCTGGTGTAACCGATGGGTCCAAGCGAGTATAGAGCTCCCACCACCGCCTCCAAAACGTAGTTCCCGTCGTGATGTCCAGTCAGGTACCATCAAGGCTTATGTGGTACACAGAGGAGGGTGTGATGCGCCGGACCTAGCTCTGATCATCTGCCTGTGGTCGGGTAGGCCGCTGGAACTCCATGTCCCGATCTCGGATGTGCTTTTAGTAAGTAATGAGATCTGGCAGCAATGAATCAGATCGTGTCATGTCATCAAAGGAAAGACGATGTTGTAGTCGACGTGAAAAGGAACAACAGGACCACGAACAGCGCGTCGCTAGGGTTCAAGTTGTTGTGCAGATGCCCCCTGACAGGTGGGATCGTAAACCAGCAAGCCATGACCGAGCTTCTCCTGACAGAAACATCCGATGCGCATATAAAGGCCTCAGATATGAAAGCCGGTCAGGGGTGTCTCTGACAATTGTGAGTGATTACTATGCTCATGTTACTGCTACAGGACTCTAACTTCCGATACTGGAGGAACGAGATTACATGCTGGAACGGAACGTCATGGCTGCTCGTCGCAGAAGAAAGCAATGTCGATAGAGCTGATAGTGGATCTCCCGCCAGCCACCTGCATGGTGCTTGCTGCTTTGGTCCAAGTATGCCCTCGACATGGCATGCAGAATCTCGACATAGAGGCAGACCTATTTGGCGGCCATGAGTGGATCTGCGCGCCACAGCAGGACACGCAATGTAAGGCTGCATGTAGCCGTCTGGACGAGCTGAACCTGGCTGGAGGTCGACTTGACGCAGCAGCCAGAGACAGACCAAATGCACCGACCTGCATCAGTTGCTGCGCGTATTCTGCGAAGGGAAAGGCCGGCGACAGTGCCGACGGCACTTCTCAATGCAGAGAGCGGACGCATTCGTGTATCGCAGAAGACGTTGCAGTGGAGGGCTGTATGTCATGACGGCACGGTGAAAGAAAGAAGACAGGTGGAGCGGACAAGAAACGGGGTGGAGGCGCATGCAGGACAACGTTTTGGGCAGCTGGTGTCTGGGACGCTGGACAGCCCATGCGGCTCACGATGGTGCCGGACGCGTCGTTCATGGTGTCGGGCAGGACAGCGTATCTCGGTATGCGATTGGCGTGCGTCTATTCTCCGGGGTTCACGAGGAGCAGACGAAAAACAAAAACTTCGTGACGAGGGCTGGCACGTCGTTGGGGAAGGAGCAGCCTGAGCCAGTGCAGGCGCGAAGCTAAATTTGCCGACGCCATGCGCCCTAAGCTCCTTCCGCATTCCAGTGCACAGAGAGGCGCCGGATTGGACGCCGAGAAGGGACCCTAGTTGGACCGCAGCCAGCATCTCTCGATGCAGCAGACTGCACAGGTGCCATGGGAGAATTGCGGCATGCAGGCACGGTTTGGTGTGACACATAGAATTCGGCAACGCTATCCTCGAAGCATCTCGGAACATTCACATCGCGCCCTTCCCTGCTACGGCACTAGGGGCTTCGCGACGTCGAGATGCTACCATGGCCGCGGCTGCGGAACGGCCAGCCCGCGTTTGACCAACCCCACCACGCCCGTCTCTTTGAGAGGGCCTCATATTGGAGGAGAGGGAGCAGATCCCCAGCCGGCCTACCTGTGCTACCATCGAGTACATCTTTTGCTCCATCGGTGCAGCAGCCATCCGCTTTGGATGCCCTCTGTCCAGGAGAGCAGAACCTCCAGACGGCTACACGCTGCTGCGTGTTGCACACTACCGCGCCTGGTGGACATGCATTCAGCTCTTCCTGTAGCTAAAGTTTATTCTCCATTGGGCCCGGCATCGAGAGAGTCAGTATAAGACGGACTACAGATCCGCGTCATTAGCGTCCTCACAGTAGCAACAAGCAAACCCTGAAATCGTTCCTTCTCCAGTAAACAACCCTCACCCGACGTCGCTCTCATTCCAAGTCTTGCTTGCTTTTGCCAGCCACGAATCGACGTACCCTGAACACCCTCGCTTTCGAGTCCGATCCTACCTTAGCCTCAACCGGTATCCTGCCGCAAGCATACAGGTCAGTACTTCACCTCGCTCTCTATATCTAGCCTTCGTGCCCCAGTATCTGTGTCTCACACTACCAGCCAGACAGTCGTTCCCGTTCATCACACGCTTTCCACCAATACTCTTCCACTACCATGGCCCGCCCCGCAAGCTGCACACACAACTTCAAGTTGATCAAGTCCGACACTACTCTCGTCGTCTGGAACTGTCAACTATGTCACACTTCTGGACTCTTTCACATCTATGAGTGCGAGCAATGCAAGCTCAAGACTTGTCGGCCTTGCGCCGCCAAAGCATAGGTGAGTCCAACAATCCCTTCGATCAGGTTCTCCCTCCCCTAGGAATGACACCTTGGACTTACGGCACGTGCCAAGGTGTTGCGAGGGATCATTCGTAAGATGCAACATGTATGTAGGTGCTGACTCGTTGACTGCAGATGGAATGCACAGATCGCCAACTACGATCCAAAGCACCCGAGATCCCGGTTCCCAGATGCACGCGAGCTGTCATTGGCGGCTGACGACCCTCCCACATCATCGCACACCACCCATCTCCGCTACGGTTTTCATCATCATTTTTCACGTCAGCCTTATTACCTCAGCATGGCGTTCAGGCATCTCTACTTTTCACGTCGCCGTCGTTGGCGACTATATCTCGAAACGGCAGGCTTCCTTGCAGGAATCGATTTTACGACTCGCTAGACAGAAGCAAAGGGGTACCCGCTTTGCAAGGGTTTCAGACTCGCCAGGGCCTGCACAGCAAGGCCGATGGCGATTGCCGTTGTGACCCGTCTGTCAGATCCTACGATACCAGGCTTTCTTTAACTGTTCCACGGTCGACTTCCACACACGGTATCTTGTCCCTTTTGTCGCTTTACATTACAACGACCGGTGCAAACCAGCAAGTCATAATGTCTTCAATTCTTCACACACTATTCGGTACTATTGGGAGTCCAGGAATGTTATCTCGTCTCTCTCTTCTAGCTACATGTACATCTAGACGCCTATGGGTGGGGTTGCTGTTTCACATACCCATGAGGCGGCATGCCTTGGCGGCTTAGTAGACTACTTCATATCATAACCAGATCGAATACACCGGCCCGTCCATCTTCTGCAGTTTGCGGCAAGAGCTGCGGCAATCGTCGTGTTTTGCCATTGAAATTAGCTCATCGTATTAACGGCACCGCCGTAGGATTCCGCCTCGTCTCGGTGCCGCGCATCTCATCGTATTCCAAGGTTGGTCTGCGCAGTGCGATCCTTTGTTAGTAAGTGACATATGACTAGCATGCTGGTACCAAACATGACTTTTCAGACAGCTGAGAGCCAAGCGATGAGTTAGACGCTTAGCGCGATGTTGTCGCCGAACACACCTGGTACCGATTGCTCTGTCTCCAAAGACCCACAATTCCCGATCGACTACGCAAGACATCTAGGCATGGACGTGCTGCCCAAGGGTCCAGCACAACTGTGGTTTCAGCGCGTATCTACAGCCCAAGAGCCGCAGTCTCGCGAGCCGTGTTCTCGTCTCGCAGAAAAGTCCGAAGACAAGGTGGTGGATACGATTGCCCTATTCGGGCCTGCCTGATGAGGAGCGACACGATTGCCGCCGACAAGAGATAGATAGACAACGCAAGTCTTCATCAGCTTGGAGCATTTCATGTTGCGTATTTGCCAGTACCGACAGGGGAGCTAACTTATCAGACCATATTTCAGCATCGCTTTTCGCAACATCGCAAGGTTTTGAAGGCGCACCGACAGATCTCGGAAGACGACCCTACCAATCGCATTGCAGGCAGCGATCAGTCAGTCAGTCGATTATATATCATGCGGGCGCCTGCCAAACGCATGCGGGGGATATATGGCCGGTAGAATAAGGACATACATGAGATCATAAGACTTGAGGTCGGTGTTCTGCGACAAGTGCCCAAAAGGGTTGGGGGACGCGAAGTTCGCGCTTGCCACCCCTTTTGCCCAGCCTGCCCCGCGCCTTCCAGCCACAGTGCCCCGGCCCATCTCGTGGCCTGCACTAGAACACACTCTGCATACAAACTTTGACCAACAACTGGACCGCTTACTCTGCGTTAGGCCTCACGCTCCACATCCCACCCGTTCACTGTCGTCGCTGTCACTGCCTGCGATGCTGCCTTGCGCAGAGAGCGACAGCCTTGTTGTGTGTTGCGGAACTTGCAGCAGCTGCACAATCGCCATGGGATGACAAGCTTTCATTCGCACGACCATTGGCACGCGCGAGAGATGCTATTGGAGCCAGATGGACGTTATGTTCAGCCGCAGGCAGCCGTAAGCAGCCAATACTGCAGATCTGACGATACGGCCCCCAAACCGACAAGACACATTATAGTCGACGTGCCAGTGCAGACGGACCTTCAACACATGTTCATCTCCTCCCATCCCCCTCTCTGTGCTCGCATTCGCTTTTGAAAACGTCTCCGCTCTCGTCCCTTGATTGAACAAACATAATTGCTTTCGAGCAAAACAGTTCAGCCACAGCGTTACAGATGCCCGGGCCCCGCAGAGAAAAAGCAACAATGGTCTCTGAGAGGAGTGAGGATACACAAACCGGCGCACCTCAGGAGGCAATCAACGAATTCTGGGACAATCTCATCACGAAGCGACCCGAGAAGGTGACCAAGATCTTCCCACCGAGTTTGTATGCGCATCTACTGCCTGCGCAGCGTAAAGAGGGGACCGTCACAGGAAAGAATGCAGCTGAATCCTATGAAGCGGCCGCTGCGCAATGTCGCGCTCGCGTTGCCCGCGTCGTTAAAGAATGCCATCGCACAAATGAAAAGTTTACCGATGCCGACTTTGACATTGAAGATCTGTCAGACAAAAATTGCCAATGGGGTTTGATGAGCTGGTTCAAAGAGGAGCCAGCAAAATCAACAAATCCACAAATCAGCCCTATGCGGCTGGGTAACGCTCTCTCCACGCTGGTCCAAAGTGGGGTAGTCATGTCTGATGGCGCGGTGTTCGATTTCACGGCTACAGCCAAGCTCCTGACCAACAGGCCGAAGAGCAGTAAAGACGGCCCCAATTCTGTGCATCGCGTTGGTTGGATCTTCGAAAACCCGCAATTCGAACTCGACGGCTTCTCCAGCTCCGATCTCAGACAAGGCTCGAATGGCGATTGCTGGTTCATTGCTGCTGTGGCGACTATCTGCAGCAATCCCGTTCTAATGAACAAGATCTGTGTTGCTAGAGACGAGGAGTGTGGCGTCTATGGGTTCGTCTTCTACAGGGATGGCGAGTGGATCTGGACAGTCATTGACGACAACCTGTACCTCGAATGCAGCGATTTTGACACCGCTTTCGGGGACCAGTATGATCCAGCGAACTTCAAGGAGAAGAAATACAAGAAAAATAACCAGACTGGATCCGAAGCGCTGTATTTCGCATCTTGTGTTGATGAGAATGAAACGTGGCTGCCGCTACTGGAGAAGGCTTACGCCAAAGGTATGCACGAATCCTGCCTGCCACGATCGTTTGGAGTATGTTTGCGATTACTAACGAGCTTGCAGTGCACGGAGACTACGATGCCATTGCCGGCGGCTGCAGCGGCGAAGCGGTGGAAGACCTGACAGGGGGCGTTACAACGAAGATTCTTACCGATCGCGTCCTGAGTAAGAAACGACTATGGGCAGAGTTACTGCAAGCCGGCAAAGAGTTTCTATTCTCAGCTTCCTCACCTGGCATGGATGGAGATGACTCGGACGCTCGAAGGGGGCTTGCCCTGAGCCACGCTTATTCGATATTGAAGGCAGTTGATGCTGAGGGCGAGGATGGTACCAAGTACCAACTTGTGCTAATACGTAACCCTTGGGGCAAACGAGTCCATGCCGGCATGGGCGAGTGGACTGGACCCTGGTCCGACGGGTCTCGGGAATGGACGGCGTACTGGATGGACAAGTTAGGCCACAAATTTGGAGATGACGGCCTGTTCTGGATGTCGTATGAGGATCTGCTCAAGAGGTTCGATCTTCTTGACCGCACGCGGCTCTTCAACGAGGAATGGACTGTAGTGCAGCGTTGGACGAGCGTACCGGTCGCATGGGTTACTGGCTATGTGAACACAAAGTTCTCGGTGGAAATTAAGAAATCTGGGCCAACCGTCTTTGTCCTATGTCAGGTAAGTAGCAAGGCATTATTCGACGTGAACATACTGACTCTTCATAGCTGGATGAGCGCTACTTCAAGGGTCTAGAAGGCAAATATGACTTCGACTTGCACTTCATATTGCAAGAGCAGGGTTCTGCAGCAGGCGACTACATCATACGCGCTCGAGGTGCTTGGTTCGGTAACCGTAGTATCTCTGCTGAAGTTGACCTTGAAGCTGGAGTATACGAAGTCCTACCAAAGATCGAGGCGTCAAGAAACAAAGACGCTCCAGATGTCCCGGAGGTCGTAACCAAGCTGGCGGAACGCAATCCGCAGAAGCTCAGGCAAATCGGTCTCAACTACGACATCGCAAATGCCAAGGGCATCTTCGAACTTTCTGAGGAAGAGCAAAAGAAGAAGGAACAGAGAAAAAAAGAGGCGAAAGAGAAGAAGACGATGAAGAAGGAGGCGAAAGAGAAAGAGAAGGCGGAATTTGAAGCATGGAGGAAGGAAAAGGCGGAGTTTGAAGCGTGGCAGAAGGAAAAGAAAGCCGAGTACGAGGCTTGGAAGAAAGAGAAGAGCGAGCACGAGACCAAAGAGAAAGTCGAAAATACGGGCAAGTCCGAGGAGGCAACTGAAGACAACGATTCACCACCTGAGCAAACGACTGGGACGGATGCGCCCGAGGATGCTAGCCACGACACCGAACAACCCACAACATCCGATACAGAAGACGAGCCAAACGCCCCAGCCGACCTCACAATCCAACTGAAGGACTCCTCAGGCAAGACAGAGCCCGCTACAGAGCCCGCACTCGAACCACACGACCCCAGCAACAACAGCGGCGGAGACCACACACCTACCTCCGAAACCTTCCCTAACGAACCCTACTTCAGTCCATCCCAATCCCCCCGACCTTACAGCCCCAACCAACAATTCCCACCCCCACAACGCTTCCACTCCCAACCACCGCCAGACTTCCGCAGATATCCTCATCCCCGTGGGAACCATGTTTACGGCGGAGCTCCACCCCCACAAGACGTTCCTCAAACGCAACAGCCCAAGCCGTGGAATGCGGTCTGTGTATTGGGTCTGAGGGTGTATAGTCAGGATCCTGAAGTGAGTATCAAGTTGGTGAAGCCGAAGGATGATGAGGAATGTGCGATTTTGGATGTCGATGGGGAGACCGCGGCTGGGGCGACGATGTGATTGCGCGCCGTGTGAGACGTATGTGTGCGTGTGCGATTACGATAAAGCGCGACTATCTCAGCGAGGCGTTTCGATCGTTTGCATGAATCAATGATACCGTTATTCATGTCTTCATTGCTATTGATATGCAGCTCGCAGGTTCACCATGCTATGTATCGCCCCCATCAAACCGTTCTCTCATCGTCGACTGGTACCCTACTCAGCCAACTTAGCACCGTTCAGAATAACCGCAGCCCTAATAGTTGCGCCATTTCCAACATCAAAAGTGTCGTGCACAGCCATACCCTCTGCACCCATCACATCCTGGAAGCCCACCTGCGCACTTCCAAACTCGACGTCCTTGTTCAGCAACGCAATCTTGAAAGCGCCAGGGTTCGCAAGCATAGCTGCAGTGAGCGGAATGCGGAACGCCTGGTCGAACGAAGGGTTGAAGATGTCAGTGCCGGGAGTGTACGTCTTGACTGCGGTCTGGAACGTCTTGTCCCCCCAGGTAACCTTGACGCTGGGGTTGAGCTCGTCGCGGTTGCCCTGGAGGCCACCGGCGCTGGCAATGAGGACGGTGGCTAGACCGCAGACTTGGCCTTCAGCCTGGCCTTGAGCGTTGGCCGAAGAAAGAACCTGTGCGTCGTTGACGAAATTGAAGAATTTGGCGTGGATCAGGAGACGCGCTTGAGTAGCATCGCCCTTGTGCGAGAGCTCCAAATCTTGCGAACCGCCCTTGAGAAGAATCTCCTTGACGCTGGTGGAGCCAATACCGATGTCGTCATCACCCGCCAAGTCATCGTCCTGGATGTCTACAGTGATGTCTTGCTCGAAGTCTGAGACCAAGAAGTCGTGGGTCTCGTTCCACTCTGGCTCGTGGTTGTTATCCACGACGCTCGTCTTCCACTCTTCTTCTGCGCCTACTTTGACCTTGACGTAGCAATCGGGTACGTCCTCGAGCTTGACTTTGGATAGAAGCTTCCTCATGGTACTCTTCTTCTCGCCCTTCTTGGGAGCACTAATCCCGGTTGCGCGGGCGACTGTGATACGAATAATACCGTGGTGGGGCTGGTGGCACTTGAAGTAGTCGACGTCGTTCATCATCTTGACGAGGAAGCGGTTGGGGAGTACGGCCATGCTATCGATGATGCCGAGGATGGTCTTGCGGACGGTGCTGTCGATAACAGAGAAGTCGGCAATGTTGGCGGCGTCGGTGAAGTCGAGCTTGAGGCTTGGGGTGTTGAGGAAGGCGACTTGTGCTGCACCGATCTGGAGATCTCTTTAGTATAGAATTCGATGCCATGCGAGACGTTGTAAGGACTGACCAGTGGGATGATGTTTACTAAAGGGCATAGCAGCACGCTGATTCGGCCCTTCATGTGGACCTTCTCAACACCCTGTATACCATGTTAGCTCAGCTGACTAACTTCCTTGATCACATTCAAAACTTACCACTTTAGGCACCATGCTGCCGTCAAGCTCAAAGTCACATACACCTTCCCAGGTCATGTCCATATCGAGCTTGATGCCGTCATTCTTGGTCTTGTGGACATCGACGTTGGAGAAGCCGATGGGGATGTGACCAAAGTCGATTTTGACAAACTTCAGGTTTTTCAGAGGGCCAGGTAGTGTTGAGGCGAGAATAGGTTCGACGGTGTCTTTGATGATGTTGGAGCCTGCGACGCAGATGTTGGGCCAGAGGTTCTTAACAATGTCGTTGAGGAAGCCTAGTACATGCGCGTTAGCATGTTTCGTGCCCAAAGTCGGTATCAATGAGTGAGCGTGCGTCCATCGCGGCATTGATCATTCATCGCATCGACATTCGGCGGACGAAGGCTGGGAAGTGGCATTTACCAGCTGGTTCAGCACCACCAGAGGCTGTCAACGCTTCCACGAGAGATGCAGGCGCCTGGTTAGCCATGATGTGCAGTGAGAATTTCCGTCTTTGTGTTCGGTTTGCTAGTAGCTGTCGAGCTGGTAGGTCTAGTAGCTCGCAGCGGGCAGTGCGTGTTCAAGGGTTAGGGGATTCGTAAAGTAGAGAGTTTGGTTGAAGAACTGTCAACCAGTTTTGAAGCTCGTCAATTGGAACGCTACACCACGTGTCGTTCCTGTTTGTTGCTACCTGATCTTGGAAGCTCCAGGTTGACGTCACTTCTCAAACACGCTATGCGGCAAGTGCAAAGGTTGAACCCCGCAGTGGCAGTGAAAGCCACACGTCGAAGCCACAGACACGTGTCACGCTTTGCGCCCGCGCACCAGCCACTGTCAACTTCATGCATACCTTAGGTCAGCAATTCCCGTTACTTGACTCTGTGAATATGTCTAGCCATTTCCGGTGCTTTGGTTGTTTGCATCTCAAATGCATGTGTAGGGTTGATCGCCTGTTCCAATACGCCACGGCTACGCCACACTTTGCTTTTCACCCTTCATGCACGCTTCCCCAGCTGTCACATCGCAATCGGCGATCATCGCATCACGCACCTAGTCCCGCAGATACATCGATGGCGCAGTCGCTAATCGCCCAGAAGCAACCGTGAACCCCTGTGAATATCTCATATCGGTTACACCGAGCCGTCTTTTGGTGGCTGCCCATGTGTGAACGACGTGCATGAGAAGCCGAGTTGCTTTTACGGGCCGCTGTCAGATCAGAGATGACAAGGGTCCAGGGTCTTCGGTTTCATGGAACGGTCCTATATCACGAGGACGCCTGATATATCGGGTGGCTTGAGCTATATCTGGAGGTTGGCATGGGGTGCCGTAGCCGAACTTTCTCAAATCTCGTTACGATTACTGAGCTTCTGGTTCGTTTACCCATGTTTGAAGGCGTATGCCTGACACCGCATTTGGATCTTCTACCGAGCTCGACACGCAAGATGGGAGATAAGCGAAGGAAGACGGGGAAACGGTTCTTGTGCCGAGGGCATTATGCGATCGATCTGTTGCATGGAATTGAGCTGAGCGGCGCAGGAGATTTCGACAGTGTATCATATTTTGGGATTCATGTGGACTGATTAGAATAACGTGTTCCGGTTTCCCACGACGCTGTTACTACGCCGCACAAGATGCCTGGGTCTCGTTCTTTCACAACGGCGGCAGCGGCTTGCCATTCGGCGTGAGTCCGTCACACGCACTCTCCAATTCGCTTGCAGCGATACTCTGCGTGACTTCTCCATCATACCCAAGCAACACGCCCTCGCCACTGGACTTGTAGGCTTCCCATCCCAGTTTGGGTAGCCCATTGACTGGATCCTCCGCGAAAGCAAGGTAGTAGTCCTGCGCTTGCTCGCTTACCATCCTTTCGAAATCGGTACCGTTGCCTCTTGCAATACCGTAAGTACCGAAGTACAGCGGAAGATCAGACGAGTGGAATGCACCCTGCCAGAATCGAGGCGCGATGTTGCTGAAGTTACCAGCGTACAGATAGCGGAAGGTAGTGGTGTTGGCTGCCATGCGATCGTAGGTCGTCTTCACAACCGGGCAAAGGAATAACGAAGCAGTTGCAGCGTCGGCCTCAGCCTGGGGAGGCCCGTATGTTGCATTGTACGCGGGGAAGGCGCTACCCTCATTATCCGTTGTGCCAATAATCGCCGGTTTGAGCGTGAAGTTTCCGGCCTGAGCGCGTTCCGTGTAGTTGGAGAAAACCGTGACATTGTCGACGACCGGGGTAAAGCTCAGACCTGGCGAAGTACCATTGTCAGAGTATTCCTTCAAGAAGCTTTCAATGTCACTAGATTCGATCTTGCGTAGGCAGTCGATTTCAGCATCGGCATCGGCCTCGTCGCATCCGAAGTGTTGAGCGACGAACGTGAAGTTCGTTTGCTGGGTATCAGCGCTCTCGATCGACAGGAAAGACGATCCAGAGTTCATAATCAGGCCCGAGACGATAGGGTCTTCGGGATAAGCGAAGTTGTAGTAATCGACAGAGATGGCCCCTGCAGACTGGCCCCAGAGCGTGATACGATCTGGATCACCACCGAAGTTGGCTATGTTGTCGCGACTGCAAGATAAGTAAGTTTCCAATCCATGACTTTAAGAAGACTATACATCCGAGAAGAAGAAATGGATATAATAAACTGACCCATGACATGTTCATGTGTGCACACTTACATCCATTCTAGAGCGAGACGCTGATCTAAGAAGGCCAGATTCTGTTCGTCATCGGCAAGGGCTTTGGCATTGGGAAAGCCAAAGATGTTCAAACGGTAGCTGTGGTGTTGGTAAGACATGTGTTGGGTCATATAAATTAAGCTGGACTTACTTGATCCCGACGACGATGTGCTTTCCTGTTCGTTCCACCCATCTGGCTGGAACCTGGTAGGGCACCGTCGGTCCGCCCGTCACGAAACCTCCACCATGAATCCAGACCAGGACCGGTAACGGCTCCGAATCGTCTTTATCGATGTCACAGGTGGACAAAGGAGCCCAGATGTTGAGATTTAGACATTCCTCTGACTGGTAGTCGCGTGGCGAGATGATGAACTCCGGCGCGTCCGTCAGCCAAACATTAGGTGCATCGCCCTCGAACTGGGGGCAAGAAGGGCCTAGGTTGGTGGCTTTGAGTGTTTCGTTCGCTCTGCACTTTGGAGTCGGTGGCAACCAGCGTCGGGCTCCCACAGGCTGTTCGGCAAAGGGTATACCCAAGTACTGTGCGACGTTCGGTGTGATGTCATCTGTAAAGCCTTCAACCGATCCAGAAGATGTGTCAACGTGCAGAGAGCTGACAGCAGTCGCAAGATGAAGTTGACCAAGCCCAAGGAGGAGTGCTGCAGCGAGCGCCATGATCGATGAATGAGAAGACTGCGGAGGTGGGGATTGGCGTTACCCCATCATGGTTATTTGTACCTTTTCCAGTACCCCAGATTATCACGGATCAACATCGTCACTAGTCATGTCATAGCTGCATGCACCCCATCGGGGTCTTCAACCGACGAAATTACGAGCAGGTTTTTCACTAGGCTCTTGGATGCTGACATCGCAGTTGCATTGACATGGAATGGATGAACTATGAGATGTACGACACTGAGAGATGTTTGCGCTCAGTAAGCATGTATGGAAACGCTCACGCATAGCGTAACGGTTGAGAATCCTTTGTTGTGAAGAGGCAGTAGGTACAAACTCGGCCGACAATGATCCGGGGCAGGCGCCGTCCCCACACTTCCCCACTTTGTACATCGGTATCGTCACCGAACCGTCGACAATGTTAAGTACGGCATCATCCAGCAGTAGTAAGAGACCTGAATCCAAGCCTTACTCCAAGTCCTACTCCAAATTCGCATTCGTCGTTCAGAGATCAAAATGAAGGTCTTAATCACTGGGGCCGGTGGCTTTGTCGGCCAAATTCTGGCCAAGAAACTCATCGAGACAAACACCGCAGATGCACTCATTTTAGCCGACGTTAACCCGCCTCCCAATCCGACATCGTCGCAAAACGTGCAATGCACGTCGGCAGATCTCACCTCGCTTTCCGCATGCGAAGATCTCATCGCCCAATCGCCGGATGCCGTGTATATCCTACATGGCATCATGTCGAGTGGTAGCGAAGCGAACCTTGAGCTTGGTCTTAATGTCAACTTCGAATCTGTACGCCAGTTACTGGATACCATCCGGACCAAGCGACCAGGGATCAAAGTAGTCTTCACGTCTTCCTGCGCAGTGTTTGGCCGGAAAGCAGTAGAAAACGTAGCAACAGAGACGGACATTGTTCCTATGCCGGAGTCGAGCTATGGCACACAGAAACTCATGATTGAGTTCCTTCTCAACGACTATTCGCGACGCGGGCTTATTGACGGACGAGTCGTGCGCCTGCCGACTGTCTTCGTCAGAGCAGGCGCACCAACTGCTGCGGCTTCGTCTTTCGTCTCTGGCATTGTACGCGAGCCGATCCATGGAAAAGAGTCAGAGCTACCAGTCGACCCCAGCATTGGCATATGGCTTACTTCACCGCGCGCGTTGGCGACAAACCTCGTGCATGCCATTAAAGTTCCGGCGGAAAAGTTTGGGCACTTCCGCCAAGTGCTGTTACCCGGTTACACAGCTACGAGCGGAGAAATCTTGGACGCTTTGGAAAAGGTCGCGGGAAAGGAGACGAGAGATTTGGTGAAAGAGAAGAGAGATGAGACTACGCAGAGGATCGTATTGAGCTGGCCGGCGAAGTACGATACGGCGAGAGCGAGAGATCTAGGGTTTAGTGAAGACGTTGGGCTCGAACAGACCATTCGTGACTTCATTGACGGCGAAAAGCAAAAGTCATGAACCATAATATTCCTCAACACTTTTGCTTTAGCAAGGGGCAACACACAATTGAAAGCATCGCAAGGAGAGGTCAGAGGTTGTGAAGTTGTATCATTATGTTCATTTCGTTATACTACTGTCAGGACGTCTTTACACCTGACATCTTACTAACTATATACATTATTCCTTTCCTTTTCCACCTGTTCTAACCGTAGACGGGCGACTTGGTGTAGCCGGGGAACTGCTTGAGCAAATTCTTGTCGAGCGTCATCAACTCTGGGCAGCCAAGAGGTCCGATCAGGCTTCCGATGGCACTGGTGAGGGCGTTGAGGGGTCCGAGAAGAATGTCGGCCTTGCCTTGGGCTGATGCCTGGTAGACGAAGCAGCCAAGGTTGTTGCCCTCGAGGAGCGAAGCGCCGTTGAAGACACCGCCAGTCAAGTCGGCAACATCAACACCGACGAAAGAGTTGGGAGTACCAGTGTTTCTGAAAGTGTGTTAGTAAGATTTCTACGCAATGTCAGAGGAGGATAAACGTACCCGCCAATGTCGAGGAACTTGGGGTGGAGAAGAGCAGCGTTGACAGCATCCGCAAGGAAGTAAGTGGTCTCGTAAGGGTACTCAAGAGCACGACGGTACCAGTTCTCTGGGATCTTCTCTCCGCCCTGGACAGCCCTGTAGTTACCGCTGTTTCCCTCAATACCGAACCACGACTTGAGGACGTCGTATGGGAGGATACCAGTGGGGTCTTGAGCAGTGTGGTTGGCCATGAAGCGGAAGATGAAGGTGTACGCAGCAGGTTGCACCAACACACCGGAGAATGGTCCGTTGAAGAAGTAGGGGTTAGTCTGCTTCTGCACATCGAAGCGGTGGCTTCGGAACTCAGTCAAGCTGTCCAGAGTGACAACACCACCGGGCGAGTAATCAATCAACTCTTGGAACTGGCTAGCGACAGTCTTGTAGTTGTTGCCAGCCTGGTAAAGGTCGGGCCTTGTTGGCGAAGCATCGGCTTCGTACTTGTTGTGGGAACCGCTCAACCCGTTGCCCAGGGTACCTGTTACGCCTGCTTGCGCGATGGATGGCGTGCCACCCATGGACCAGCTAAGAAGGTCACCGTCGAGGGCGCCACCAAGAACTGAGAGGAAGGTCGACAGGACGGGGCCCATGCCTACCACCTTTTGCGTGGCTTCGATGTATTGTGCCACAGTGGCGTATCCATTGTGGGGTAGGTAGTTCTTCAACGTGTTAGTGTCGTCAACTAAGTAGGACACAGTGGAGGACTTACGTGGTTGGCGAAAGCGTTAAGACCAGGGCAAGGTCCTCGGAGGTCATCCGCTCCTGGAGCAACGTACTCGTGGCCGCTACCCTTGGAGATGTTGATGTACTGGGCCTTTGCGTCGAATTTAGGCACTGGCTCAAAGATGGCTGTTGCAGCACCTGCACCACCTTGACGGCCTTGCAGCTTCACCAGTCTCGCGGCTTCTTCAGCGCGCTTCAGGAGCTCGAGATCATGACCAGCAGCGTCCAAGATGGCAGTTGGCCAAGCGCTGGCAAGGGGCGCCGCGGCGATCAAAGCTAATTGAAGAGAAGAGAAGTGCATGTTTGTGATTGATGAGAAGACTTGATGCTGGCAATGAAACATAGACCAGATGGGTCGGGCATGCTATATACAAATCTGCAGGTACGTACCCAACATCGCCATCACGTTTGCTGTCACCCATAGTCTGCATGACGCGCATCGGCGACGTGAGCATGGCCGCGGTTGACCTGGTCGTTCAACAAAGACCCCGCTGTCGATCTCTTGGTCGATAGTACACAACGGGCGACGGCCATCTCCAGAGACGCTTTGGGCTGCGCGGGATCATGTGGAGATGACAACCACCCGCCTGTGATTCGTGAACTGCTCTCGATCGGAACCTTAGGCGCCATACTATTACCTATGGATCCGGGGTAGTGCCCGAGGAAGAAAGGTCAGATGGGGAGAAAGTGGGATTGTGGCCAATATCAAGCAACCGCCACCCGCGCCGAACAGGAGGCACCTGCGAGAGTTATGATACTAGCCGTCCCCAAAGGTCTAAGACCTGGCTGAAGTTGGTATGCACGATGCGGTAGTTGGCGGCACTTACCAGGGGTACCCTCCGGATGTTAGCGTGCCCGAACCAACAGGATCAGAGCCCGTACCCAATTATGGAGAACGGTCAGCTTCCCGTATACCAAAGCATCGTGAGATCTGCACAACGCTACTTCCGATGCAACTTAGACACCCCTGAAGGAAATTTATCAAAAGACGGGCAGCAAAATATTTGGAAAGTTGCCTCGGTCAAAGCGCCTTGGGCCAATGACGGCGAAGTCGATGGTAAACTCTCTGCTCTCCTAGGCTGCCAAGATCATACGTCACAGACGCACTTGATCAATGTTGCAGTGTGCCAACTGTATACTAGTTTTCTTGGGTTGCGAATGGAGGCGCTGCTGGGGACGCATGTGGCTGTGAAGTGTAGCACTTTGCACAAAAACCGAGGAGATGCCCAGGTGTGGAGGCACGCGATGTTACCGGCAGAGATCGGCATGGAGTCCTTCATCTACTGCTCCCATCTCCGCTACCAAGATTTGTTTGCGCAGGGCATTTTCCCCATACTTTTCTTTTTCGATCTCAAGATCTAGACACTCTAGTACCTGTCGTTCACCCTGGCGCTACATACCTAGGTAGATCTTTCGCATTCGTTAGGTCTACCGCAGCCGATATTTTCCGTCAGGAGTGTCATCACGCCAACATTGCCGGTACTTGTGGGTTAACTGGGACGCACTATGGAATCAGAAGGTAGTAGTTGTCTCACCGTAGCGTGCGCTTTGATCGTGCACAAGCGCATGGCCAATCACATCCTCAAGCTCAGTTCCTCATGATCGACCATCTGAATAGAGCACCATGCTGCCGGTAGACACCAATGCTGAGCAGGTTCAAGGTACTAGAGTATCCACTTGAAAGGCCTGCAAAGTTGTGCCTAGGCCTTTCACGATGGATGCAGAATTTACGATTGGGTTTGGCGGAAGCGTCAAAGCTGTCCTGACAGCAGTGCGACAGTTCGAGATCTTAGGAGCACTTTACATTGATGCTAATGTCGTTTTTTTGTCATACGTAATATGGCATTCTCCGCAACCAATGTATGTGACGAGGCTCAAGTTTGCACATGCGGCACTCTCCGGTGACATCAACCATTTAGGAGGAAATTTTACACGGGGAAACAAAGACGGACGCATGTTCTTCGGATAGCGAAGCTGTTATGTATGGATGAGATGTTTATGCCAGCACAATCTATGTACAACTCTTTGCTTCCGTGTATGCTGTCTTGAAGCTCACCAAGGCCGTTACTGCACTCATCAACGAGCTTGACGGACTTTGCTACACCGTTGATAAGGCTATGACTAAGTACACGTTCCGAACTGCGGCTGGCAACCCCACGACAGTCTACAGTAGTCAAGTTCATCATTGCCACACCACCCATAGCTTGAACAGCATCTCCCGAAAGTACTACCCGTACAGGTCTGACCATTCCCATCTGCTCCACACCGTCCGCCAGTACTGACATTAGTCGGAACAGGCGCCGCAGAAGAGGTCCGGCTAGTCGTTGGTATCGGTGCTGGTGTGGAAGTAGTAGTCGGCGTGGGCGACGGTGGAGTTGAAGAGCTGCTGGGGGCAGGGGCCGGCGCAGAGGAGGAAGAACCTGGCGGCGGTGCCACGCCACCGCAAGTCCCAAAGCCAAGACGACAACCAGTGCCGCAGAAGTCTATGGAATTACCACAATAGTAGTACTCCGAGCAGCAGCTTCCGAAGGCGGAGCCGGCACACGTGGTCGCGTTTCCGCATTGCCCATTCGTCGATGGGATAAGCGTGCCAGAGGGGAGTGGTGGGAGTGCAGATGAGCTCGAGGGGGCAGGGACTGAGCTTGTGGGTGGCAGAGGGGTGGGAGTCGGTGTGGGCGTAGGTGTTGTGATAGGCTCTGGTGCTGCATCACCGCATCTTCCGAAGTCAGGCTGACATCCGACTATGACTCCGCAGTGCTAAAGAGACCCCCGTAAGCTTGCGTGAACTCGAGATGTTGGGATAGCGCATACCTCGAACTCAGTCCCACAGTAGCCATAGCTTGAGCAGCATTGGTTACCACCGCATCTCTGGTTACTGAAATCAGCACCACAGCGTCCCGTCGCTTGTCGAGGGAACAAGTAGTGAAGAGAGCGAGAGTACAGATTTGGTATCGTATTGTTGCATTTTTCGAGATGTTGCGCAACGGTATCTTCGATGGCTTCTGATACTTGAAGAGGTCCTCGTGGATGCACAACGAGTGTGGTTTTGACTGACGGGTCAGCCAGAGCTGAAACTCCGGAGAGGCTCAAAGCTCCTGCCAGGCTGATCAGTCTCCAATGCATGGTAGACTTTCTGCAAAAGTCGATGAGATACCAGGTAAACCAGACATTTCCAGTGAGCAAACCCAGGTATTAATCACACTTCCACATGGCCTCACGGAAGCTAGGGAGAGAGAGCCAGGCGACAATGAAAAACATACCCACTCAATATAGCAGATAGGTTTACTGAGTACTTGGCCGCGTGCATGTGAGGCTCCTTCGAGTCTGAGAATCTGCAACAGACCAATAAAAGACAGTGCCAGACTCGTCTTCCAAATTGAAACTGTAAGCTTTGATGGTTGTACAAGTGTTTACAGATATCCACGTTATTGCTAATATGGAGGCCAACCGATGGGTATCTTTGTGGGGCCGGTTGCGATTGCGCATGTGTGGGAGACCATCCGAGAATATCATTTCTGGAGGAATTGAGAAGTTGTGGGGGATATTGAGGTTAATGTGTGCATTCCAATTGCTCTCTGGCGTCATGGCCCGGTACGCGGATCCAGCTGTCATTGCGTCGTCCAATATAGTCGTACTCGTAGCCGCAAAGAAGCATGGTGGATGCTCCATGCAACCAAGCGAGTGGTGTTGTGGGGCATCTGAAGCATTTCTCGGCACATGCCCACGTGTGTCTCGTAGAATTAAGAACGTTCGCGTGTTGAAAAAGGCTAAATGCAAGATGCCGACAATACCGAAATTTGATAGTATCGATGACATGGTAATGCCGGAACGTCATAATTGAAGTTTTTCTGACATCTGGAGAGTAAGTTCGATGCAAGGTACCATCCATGATGGGGTTGCGTTACCGGGTAAGTTGGCCTCTTCCGAAAGCATGTATTAGCCGCTGTCATCCGCGTCGCGCGAGGCTGCCTGCTGATCAGCTTTAATGACGCGCAATGCCTTGGGCATCCATGGCGCACGTACGGCACAAAAAAAACCCCATCGTTCGATCTCAGTCGTAAATCCGATGTTTGGTATGAGGACAATAGAAGGGCTGCAAAGCGGGGAATCGCAACGCGCCCATGACGCGTTGACCTGGAAGGGAGGAAGCAGCCACCCAGCTACCCGAGGACCGACCATGCGAGTCGCAACACCATAAAAAGACAAGCCTAGGTCTTTTTGTAAACATGCTGGGTATTCAAAAACAAAGATGGCTAACTAGACTACGCTCTCAGTCCCTCCATAAGAGCACCCTCCTCTCTCTTCCCCACAGCCTGAAAGACAGCACCATCACCACCAATATCCAATCCCTTCTCCGCCCTCTCATACGCCTCATCACTCCTATCTAACAAAATCTCCAACTCCTCCTTCCCCAACACCTTCCCACTTTCCGTAGCCTCAACATCGAACTTCTCTCCATCGCTTCTCCTGAGGAGCTTCTGTAATTCCTCAACCTCTTGCTCCTTCTCATTACCCCGAGTCCCGCCCCGGTCATTCCGCACACCACCCTTCCTAATGACAAGCTTTTCAAGCCGACGCTTTGCTTCTGCAGATTCAAGCAATTTCTGCTCGACTGTGTTGCGCGTTGCGAAGCGGTAGACGATGACGTTGCGGGTTTGACCGATGCGATGCGCGCGGTCCATGGCTTGGAGGTCTTGTTGAGGGTTCCAGTCGCTGTCGAAGAGGATGACTGTATCCGCTGCTGCGAGGTTGATGCCTTGGCCGCCGGCGCGGGTGGAAAGGATGAAAATGTCCGCAGCCTCCTTTGTGGTAGATGGCTTGTTGAAGGCTAGGATCTGGTCTTGACGGTCTGTTTGTGCGACAGATCCATCGATACGGGCGTAGTTCCAGGAGCGTAGGTCGAGGTAATGGCCTAGGAGGTCCAGGGTGGTGGTGAACTGAGAAAAGATCAGGACCTTGTGGCCGCGACGTATCAGCTCGGGGAGAAGTGCATCGAGGAGAAGCATCTTGCCAGAAGTTGATACGATAGTCTCATCGGGTTCTGTCTCCGATGCGAAGGTTTCGGCTCCGTCAGTGTCTGCTCGTATGAAAGGGTTGAAGAAGTTGTATGGCGAGTTACAGCACAGTCGGAGCTGCATGATGGGGTTACCGAGCTTCTTCTGCATGAGCTGACGCTTTGCGATCTCAAAAGTCGCGGCTCGCGTTCTCTCTTCTTCAGCATCAGAGCTCAGGTCCTCTTCTTCTTCCTCGGATTCTGGCTTGTCCAGTCCATCGAAGTACTCGTCATCACTCACTTCTTCGTAGTTCTTCTTTGGTCGGCCTCGACTTCTCGTTGGGGCGACAGACGCGGGCGTGCCTGCACGAGACGTCTTCGCGCTCTTGCTTGGTGTCTCCCTGCTACTCAAAGCCTTACGTTTAAGACTGCCGTTGTTACTGCGAATGCTCAATGGCGTTCCTGCTCGACTGCTAAGACCAATGCTCAATCGTTCAACAGCTTTCTCCTCGAGATAGGATCGACTGGTGCCATCAAGGATGGCTTGGTACAGCTCACGTTGCATGGAAGTCAACGGAGCGTACAACACGTACTCGCGCTTCTTGGGCATCAAGCTCTCAACGTCTGTCTTGACTCGTCGCAGCAAGAATGGCTTCAGGACAGCATGTAGTGACTTGACCAGATACTGCTGTCGCTCCTCCGATAGCAGCTGTTCGAAACTCGACTTGTCTTTTAGCCCAGAGAAGTCGAACCAGCTCTCAAACGTAGATAACTTGTCGAATACTGTCGGCAGTAGGAAATGCAACAGTGACCACAGCTCCACAAGATTGTTCTGCAATGGCGTACCAGTAATGAGGAGACGGTTCGCGGACTGGAATTGTTGCAACTCGCGGATCAGCCGGCAGTCGAGGTTCTTGATGCGATGTCCTTCGTCGATGATGATGAACTGCCAGCCGAAACTTGTAAGGTATTTGCGATCGTTCATGCAAATCTCGTAGCTGGTGACCATGATAGGGAAGTCGGCGGTACCGGGGTTCCGTAGTCTCGTCTTGCGTAGTCTTTCACGCTCCTTCTTGTCGCCATGGTATAGCATGACCGGCATGCTGGGTGTCCATTTCTCAAACTCTGCAACCCAATTACTTGTGGTGCTGAGCGGCGCGGCGATCAGGAATGGCCCGTACGACTTGTTCTCCCATAGATGTGCGAGCATAGCGATTGTCTGGATGGTCTTGCCCAGACCCATCTCGTCTGCCAGAATGCCATTGATGCCATTGTTGTAGAGTGACACCATCCACTCAAGGCCCTCAAGTTGGTATGATCTCATGGTACCTCCAGTGACAAGTTTCGGCTGCCGCGCGGACTTGAGGTCTGTCATGCCAATGTCGCCTGTTTTGACATTGTCTTTGTCGTCCTCTGCTGCTTCTTTCAAGGCCTCTCCAACGTCCTGATTACCCGCCTTCTTTTCTAAATCAGCCTTGCTGAAGTAGCTCGCTATGTCCGAAGTCTGCTTCTTGGGTCTACCACGGCCCTTGGTGTCTGTCTTCTTTGGTCTGCCCGCGCGTTTCTTTGGTGTCGCATCCTCTTCTTCCTGCTTCGCCGTTGTCGCGCCGTTGGCCGTGGATCCGCGCGTAGCTCGTCGCTGCGATGCTGCTGCTGTTGTATCGGCGATTTGTTCGCGCTTCGAAGTCTGTCCGTTCGTCTTCTCGTCTTGCTCGTGCTCCTGTTCTTCTTGCTGCTGCATCTGCGCAAGCATAACCGATGCATACAGCTACCATACGTTAGCGATCGTTCAAAGCAATATAGTATACTGTCTCAACGATAGAACTGACCTTGCTCTTATTCATCAAGAACTCCAATTGCTGGAACTTCTTGTCGAGGACCTCCCTGCCGCTCTTAATGTCTTCTTGCCTCTCCTTCTCTAGTTGTGCTTCGCGTTTCGCGTCATCCTTCTCGCGTTGTGTTCTCATGCGCTTCTCCTCCTGCTGCATCGACTGCGGCACACTCTCTGCATCCATGTCGACTGGTGGTGGCGATGAAGCAGGTGTAGAATGCGATCCAGACATTGCGCTCGTAACAGGGGAGACGGTCATGTCGCGTGCGATGAGAAGTATTGCTCAAGAACAGGATCAATGGGAACGATGGTATTGTATCTAGCGCCAGGGGTATGTGGTGATGACCGCATGCAGTGGAACGCGGTCGCGATGAAGGGGACGCGCTAAGTGGAAAATCGATGACGATGTTCTCGACGCGCGATCACGCCTAAACTTTAATTACTTGTGTCCACCCGTCCCGCGACGCGTCTACAGTCCAGCCAACGCGACATTAGAGCTTCAAGCGATAGAATACTGCGTCCTCTGGGTTCTCATAATAGCTGTCAATCTCCTCAAACCCGTATCCCTCATACAGCTTTCTTGCAGTCTTCATGCTGCGTAATGTGTCGAGCAGCATCTCTTCATAACCTAGCTTCTTCGCATGCGAGAGCGCAATTTCCATCAATGGTTTGCTGAGACGCATTCCCCGCGTTTCTGGTGCGAGAAACAAGCGCTTGAGCTCGCATGTCTTGGTGGGTGGTGATGTCGATTGCGCTAGTAGTGCTGCAGATTCAGCCTGGGTGGGCGTCGCGAAGAAGGGTCGGATGGCTATGCATCCTATGGCTCGCTCGTTCTCTCTTGTGGTGCTGAAGCCGGCGGTACTTTCGTGACTTTCCCCCTCTCCTGCCGAGGAGACCAGTAGCCAAACAGCCCCTCCCTTTTCAGTTGCGTATTTGGCAGGTAGTTCCGCCAACTCGTGGTCGAAATTTTGAAAGTCTAGGCTGATGGGCAATGACTCCGCGTACGCCTTGAACAGCTGCCCCACCACCTGCTTGTCGGCGGGGAATTCGGCATCGCGGATTTGTATGCTCGGAAGCTCAGGCATGTCGGTGTATGTGGGTCCTTGTGCCGCGGAGGGATAATGAGGGTTTTGAAGATGCCGTGAGGATCGCAGGTGTAGTAGATGTCCACGAGTACCAAACTTGATTGCAACACGTCTCCGCTTACTTTAAATACGAGCCTGCCTTCGAGATGTTGCTCTTGAAAGGCGCAATTCTAGCCTTACTAGCCCAGGTTCGTTCTCCACTTTCGGAGTTCGGAGTGGGACTCATGTTCTCGAGGGTTCGCTAATGGTGGAGCATCGTGAGCGCTCTAACCTCACCAGCGCTTTAGTCCTGCTTCAGCTGTTTTTGAATTAGTATATATTGTATCTAATTCATCAAATCGCCATCAAATCACGTGTTACGGGTCTTATGGGTAGGACATCACCACATCCAATTCAGCATCAACACCATCTAACAAATACCAGTCTAGTGGTATGATTCTCGCTTAGTAAGTCGACTTAGACATAAGTCTCTGCCTCATCATCCTAACAAATCCTAGGGGTAAACCCAAGCACAGCTTGCGAGAGGCCCCGCGTTCGAGTCGCGGTAAGACCCATCACTTCTTTTTTGCGTTCGCGATGGACTTCAGCTTGAACCTCTTTCCTTTTTGCATGCATAGAGTAGAGTATACAGCGTTGTTGCCGCACATCACAAGCCAAAACTTGATCTCACCTTAGACTAGGTTGATTGTTACCACGTTCTGCCACCAATGACTTTGAGAACCGTTGCTTCGGGCTCGACTAATAAACTATATCCTGGGACCTGCGTAGCTGAGCACTTCGCGACCTCTCTAACGAGACACTCTTCTTCCTCATACGTTTTCAAGGCAACCCGCACTATTCGCAAGTTCGTGGCGCAGTGCTTCGTGAGGTTTTATATCTGAGAAGGCGCCTTCCTTCTGCTGCTCGCGCTTTCCCCACCATACCTGAGTACCCCTCACACAATGACCATTCGCCCAGCAACACCCGCCGATGAGCCCGCCATGGCATCTCTCCTAGCCAAAGCATTCTTCGGTGAATCGCTCTTTGGCCAAACTCTGCATCCTCATCGTGATCAGTACCCAGACGATGTCAAAATATTCTGGTCCGAGTACCTGCGGGAGCACTGGAAGACACCCAATGAGAGGCTTCTTGTTGCAACGACGATGGTAGACGGAGAAGAAATGATTGCTGGCGCAGCTATCTGGAATAGGCAGGGCAATGACGAGGGGAAGCGTAGGGTGGAGGGCGAGTGGGTTGATGTCGGCACGTATTTCCCACTCCTCTGAATTAAGTGGTGCCTACCTAGGTATGCTAACATCCATGCAGGACCAAATGCATTCCAGCCTCTCCCCTCAACAACGAATCGGGCTCTTGACCCCACCAAGCGCAACATCTTGGAGGAAACTATGCCCTACTTCAAGCACCACTGGGATGGCGACCGCAGAAACAACTGGTATCTCGACATCCTCGGTGTTCATCCGGACTATGCTGGCAAATCGCTCGGGCGAGAACTGGTCAGCTGGGGGCTGGACCGCGCAAGAGAAGAAGACGTCCATGCAAGTGTCGTGGCTAGCAAAGGGAACGAGCGCTTCTACCTACGCTGTGGATATGATGAGATAATCGGAAACTGCACAGAAGGAGAGGGCAACCCGCTCAAGAATGCCGGAGTTGAAGGTGGAGATGTTCTCTTTATGTTTCCGAAGCAGAAGCAGGAATCTGCTACCTCGTAAGGGCGGATCTGCCCAAGCATCAATCGGTACTCGTATCTCGCACAACCTGTTCCGACACGTCCGCCGTCAAGATGGTAGCCGATGCGTCACGACGCGTTGCGGTGCTACCAAGCCGATTCTCGGTCCGACAGGTTCCTGCATTACTCGCTAGCGAGTCTTCCAGCATTTTCAACCAATCAGCGAGATGACAAGTTGAGCCGAGTAATCTCCCGGTGCTTTTGCGGGGGAGCTTTTGCGCGCTTTCTTACTATCGTCGTCATTTGCGGGTAATCGGGGGACGGAGCAAGAATGGATCTGACTGTAGAAATAAAAATGGCATCGCAGGTTGGCATCGTGCGGAAGTACCTCAGTCATCTCTCAGTTTCCTACAATCATGAGGCGCTCATCTCCTGTCTTGGTGTCTCTTGCAGCACTAACAGCAAGCCATATCATTCCTCGTCAAGAATCCATTGATTACAATGCTGCTCCACCGAATCTCTCCACTCTAGCTAATGCGTCGCTTTTCGACACATGGCGACCAAAGGCCCACGTTCTCCCAGCGTTTGGACAGATCGGAGACCCGTGTATGCACTACACCGACCCTGAAACCGGCCTCTTCCACGTGGGATACCTGCATCTGGGTGCATCAGGCGCGACTACAGACGACTTGGTTACATACAACGACCTGAACCCCAACTCCGAGCCGTTCATCCGCGCTGGCGGCATCAACGACCCCGTTGCTGTCTTCGACGGCAGCGTGATTGAGAGGGGAGTCAACGGCACACCAACATTGCTGTACACCAGCGTCAGCTTCCTGCCAATCCAATGGACGATCCGGTATACCAAAGGAAGCGAGACACAGTCACTTGCTTTTGCTACGGATGGTGGACGTAACTTCACAAAATCAGAGTTCGGTCCTGTCATCCCTGACCCACCGTTTGCTGTCAACGTCACCGGTTTCCGCGATCCATTTGTGTTCCAGAACTCGCAGGTTGATGGCTTATTGGGCAAGCGCGATGGAACGTGGTATACCGTTATCTCGGGTGGCGTGCACGGAAAAGGACCGAGCCTCTTTTTGTACGCTCAATACGACGACGAAGACAGAGATTTGTTTCAAACCTGGGAGTACTTGGGCGAGTGGTGGCATGAAGCGGCGAATTCGACCTGGACGGATGAGGGCTGGGCGGGACGCTGGGGCTACAACTTTGAAGTCGCCAACTACTTTGCTTTGGACGAGCAAGGTGCTAACCCAGAGGGCGAGATCTTTGTTACAATCGGTGCGGAATGGAGCTACGAGCCTATTGTGCCTCAAGTCTCAGACAACAGGGAGATGCTCTGGGTGGCCGGAAAGCAAGAGCTTGTTGACGGTAAACTGACTTTCGAACCTACGATGGCTGGGCGACTCGATGCTGGGCGCTCCGCGTACGCTGCTGCTGGTAAAGTCCTTCCTGCAGACTCACAAGCTAGCAAAGCTAGCGGCTCTCCGGATCGCTTCATCACATACCTGTGGCTGACAGGCGACTTCTACGGCACCTTAACCGATGAGTTCCCAACTCCCCAGCAAAACTGGACAGGATCCCTACTCCTTCCACGTGAACTCAGCGTTGGCCACCTAAACGTCATCGACAACGAGCTCTCCCGCGAGCAAGGTGCATGGAGAGTAGATTGCGAAAACGACAACGGCACCGTCACGCTCGCGACCCTCCACCAGAAGATCGCCCGGGAGCCTTACGCCGCATTCCAACAGAATGCTACGAACGTCATAACCCAATCCGGCGGATCCATGGCGGAAGTAACAAAGTTCACCGAAAGCCCAAAGTCAAAGCACTGGATGATGACCGCCTCCGTCACCTTCCCCTCTCGCTCTGACGACGTACGTGCGGGCTTCACCATCCTTTCCGGACCCCAAGAATCCACAACCATCTACTACCAATTCAGCAACGAAAGCATGATCATCGACCGTTCGAACTCTTCTGCCGCGGCACAGACTACAAACGGTATCCCCACGGACAATGAGTCTGGCAAGTTCCGCCTGTTTGATGTTGCGGGTGGACACGGAAATGAGACCATGGTCGAGACGCTGGATTTGACGATTGTGGTTGACGGTGGCGTTGTTGAGGTGCATGCGAATGATAGGTTTGCGGTTAGTACTTGGGTGAGGAGTTGGTATGGGGATAGCACGGATGTTAGTTTCTTTGTGGAGGGTGGGGAGGTGAGGTTTGGTGATGTGACGGTTTATGAGGGTTTGGTTGATGCGTGGCCGCAGAGGAACTAGAGTGTTGGAATATGGAGCTTCAGTTTGGGATGTATATAGTAAGAGCTGTTGTATGATACTGTACCATATGTTGTTCAGATTGGTTGACTACAGTAATATTATCAGGTTCTCATTTAGATTGTCGAATGCATTCATAAGTATCTGACTCAAGTCATCCGTCAGAAGGACGGTGGAAGTGCTTCAGGGGAAAGTTAGCTCAAGATCAGGCTCGCTCATGTATTAGGTTTTGGTGCTCGGGGACGAAACCATAGGTAGCGGGGAAGATTACGTCAGCGACATTGTGCACCTCCTTTTGGCTAGCACTGCCGCGGTTGCACGAGAAGGCGCGGTGGCGCGCTCTCACCACGGGCGAAACACAGTCGGCCAGACGCAGCTCGCAATGAAATGTGTTTCTCATAGTCCCCAATCACCTACCTCTCCCAATCCGCATTCTTTCAGACACGTATAAGATATCGCGCATTTGGTCTCGTCCCGAGTTCTTTTTCTGCTAAGCGCGTTGCTGCCTGCGCCTGCCTCAACACGCGATATAAGCTCACAGTACCCTGGCACCCTTCACTGCCCAACTGTGTCAGAAGCAATACTCGTGACGCGCACTCGTCAGAACCTTCTCGTCGCGCTCCATCTACCGACACGTCCGCAACCCCATCATCGAAAATCACAACGCACCCCCACCAACGAATCTCGACCCATCCTACACGATGACCATGGCGACAGTTCGCGAAGAAAGAACCCTGTCCGACACCCCAAACGGTCTCTTGCGCAGCCAGCACGAGTACTCGTACCGTCTCCCGACAGCCCCGCGCATCGTGGTTCCCCCGCCTACCCTCACCACCGACATGCCCGGCCTCTCCCTCGGTGGCGCATCTGGAGGGGAGGCTGACATGAGCTTCTTGAATGAGCTGGACCTCGAGGACATCATACAGAAGAACACACTCTTGGAATGGGCCTATGAGCGGCGGAGAGAGGCGCAAATGATCTTGCCCTGGGTCTATCTCGGACCCATGGTGGCCGCCAGGGACAAGGACTTCCTAGAGCGCGAGGGCATCACCATGGTGCTGGCTATCCGTGCGCAGGCCAAGAGCATGATGGGCGCGACAAATGCGGCTTCCCAGGTCTGCATGGAGGTGGGCAGCATCGAGGCGCCCAGCTTCTACAGCCTCACACCACAGTTCCCGGAAGCAGCGAGGCTCATCAATTCACATGTCGCGCGAGTACGACAACATAGCTTGGAGAAGACAGGGCAAGCCACCCTGGGCAAAGTCCTAGTCTTTTGCGAATCGGGAAATGAGAAGTCGGCTGCAGTCGTTGCAGCCTACCTGATGCAGACGCTCCACGACATTGATTACATCAAGGCTATGCAGGTCTGTCAAGCGCAGCGCTTCTGCGTCAACTTCGACGACGTCTTGAAGAACATCCTGCGCGCTTACTGGGACATCATCGGTGCACGACGCTCTATCGCCACTTCGAATGCTCAAGCGACCCAGCAAAATGGTCTGGGCCACGGTTTCGCACAGTCCGGATCGCTCTCGCTTCCTGTCCCGTCACTCAAGCACAAGCGTAGCGTCCAAGATATGCAGGATCACGATGAAGACACGGACATGGACAGTGGTATGGACGAGTCGGACGCGCTACGGTTTGCAGGGCGTGATGTCACTCCCTTCCAGGATCGCTAGGTGTAGGCCCCTAGCTTCGGCGATTCTATTGATTTGTTTGTTAGGCGTTCCAGTAGCATTATACCCTGCATATCTCAAGGCGTTATATGGCGATGCATCTGCATCTGAATGGTTGGTTACGTGTAGTTAATTCTGGAGCTCTGATGAGATGAGTGGATACGTGGGTTGGTTGCTCCTTCCATTCAGGCTGCCCGTAGTATCTGGTAGCGACCGCGAACGGGTCCAAATTTTCATCATACACTGGCCCTTGCACCTTCCCGCCACTTTGCGCTCTGCAACTCATGCCTGTCCTCCTACTTCAGACTGTGTACAGTCACTTCCAAGGTTGTCAATTATGCGTCTGCATCGTGACACCCCGAACAGGTAGCCAGGTATGGCACCTTCCCTTGGCTCACCAGTTGAACCAGTGTTAATCATTGGGCAAACAGGTTCATTTGCGACAACCAGGGACGCACCAGCAGAGACAAATGTCTTCCATGGTGAAGCATCTCGCTCCGATATCATTTCCCAAAGAAATCATTGACTATTCCTGCTCTTCTCCACTCGCAGGCCGAGATGTTAGCGAATCATTACAGCGCCTAGTGGCTGCCTTATCTTGAAGAGTCACTGTGTTCGCACGTGGCTGTGGCTCTTGCAATATTGCTTGACCCTGGCAGTACCGCTCCCTTGATGGCGGCTGACTTTCACTTTGAATTGACAGGGCTGCTATTGCACGCTAGACGCATAGCAGTCACGATGCGGCCCCATATAGGCCCAAACATGGTGGATGCGGTGAACTCTACGGTCACCACTTACCAATATCCCGCATCTTCTTCGTTCACAACGGGCTAGGACGCATCGATACCCAATCATCGCTCACATATTCTAAATTCCACGACATGCCTTACAGCCTCCGAGATCTAGCCAAATTGAAAAAGCCTGCACGCTACAGGTCCACCGATGACGAAGAGTCCACTACCTCAGAACCAGCTTCTAGCGACCAAGGTACAGACCTGAGCGACCAAGATGAGGAAACCCGCTCCCAAGGACCTTCGCGCACAAATACGCCGGCCCCGAACCCAGACTCACTTAGATCTTCGTCTTTCACTACCGACGACGTTTATCTTACACCACACCCATTTTCGCCGCTCTTCATGTCCAACGCACCCCACCCCGCGCCAACAAGCGCAAGCAATCCACCAAACTCCCAAGAGAGTCGCAAAATGGCAAACATCAAGTACGTAAAGAAACGCTCTGGCGACGGACAGCAGCCCCAAGCAGCGCCAGTAGTACGCGACTTCGCCATGCGCCCTAGCAGGACCTCTCAGCGTGCAGCAGCTTCTGAACCCGAACCTGAGCCCACACATGTCCCTCAGAAGCCAGCGGCGTTCCCTTCGCTACCAGCCAATGCTCCACCACCGCCGTTTGACCCGAAATTCTCGGGTCATGGTATGAGAGAGCTGATGGCCGCTATCGAGACCGGCGACGAGACGCGCATGGAACACATCAAAGACCACTTCAAGATTGAATACGAGGCGGGTAAAGATCCCTGGTATGTGGCCTTGAGGCGTCGCTGGGACCCTAAGATGGTAGATTCTAAGGTACGTAAAAACTGAACACCCTGGAGCCGACGTTGGCGTTAGATCGCCTACTTTGCATGTTTCCATCTTGATGTAGGCTCTGCAAGTATTCATGAGGCTAACATACAATGAAGGTCACATTCGAATCTCTATGGACATCACTACGCCAGACCATCATCGAGCAGATAAAGGACGACTTCATTCCCGGCACCTATATCAGTCGCTTCTACCCCGTATGCTGCATCCTGAGCCTCTCCAAGGCGAAGCTGGATACGATTATGGCGGAGAATGCCGCAGTATGGGAGACTGAGGCTGAGATCCCACAATACTTCAAAGACTACAGAAGGCGATACCCTCATGCTATCATCGACCCGGACGAACCTCCCCCGACCGAAGTGGTGAGGGCGATCAGGTTCTTGAGACAGCAAAGGCTTCCTGTTAGTTTGTTGGGCGAGTGGCAGGCGCTACCTGGACCTGAAGTATTTCACCATCCTTACATGTTTCACCTTCCCACTGGACAACGTAGTAACGATCGGTAGGCGTTTTATCAGCCTTCAAATAATGAAGTAGCAGAATCAATGGATGAAGTTGACCCGGTTTTCCGTTCTCAAAAGCGTAAAAGTAAACACCAAAACCACCTTTCGTATAGACAGACCCGCAAGCTGTTAAGACGTGCTGAAGGAAGGGAGGTTCGACAAGCCGCAAGAAGGCAAGAAGCATCTGAAAAGCTGCGGCAAGAGCAATGCCAGAAGTGTGAGGGGAAAGGCCATACACTATTGGAACTCGACGAGAGAGGAGTATACAAAGTAAGTTCTCCGCAACCCAGTCATTTCAAGCCGAAGATACACGGAAAATGAGCTGACCCTATCAAAAGTGTCCTGCGCGCCGACAAGAGGTCCTGCAACACCAGACAGAAGTCGACACCCTCCGCGCACAATTCAACGCTGAATATGCAGCGCTCGATCAACGTGAGCAAGAAGACCACACAATCAAAAGCCACACTTCCTAACTCACCCCAGCCCCCGCTCCCGAGGATGCCGCGCCATACCTCGAATACTTTCTCAAATTGAAAGCCACCCCGAACTCAAATCCATGCCTCGCCCGACAAGCAAATCCCTCCAAACATAGTCCATACATGTCCACAGATCCCAGAGACTCATTGTACCTACTAGACCTGACAAGCCCCTGTTTCGGACAACTCCCGACTCCTCCTCCGAGTCCTTTTACCAAAGCGGGTTCGGCGAAAAGCAGTTTCTCAAGTTTCTCAGACGCGGGGGAGCGCTATAGGACACTGTCCCCACTGCTACAAGAACTGTCCGCGTATGCGCTGCCAGATCCACCCGTTTGGCCGAATACGGAACATCTGGGTGCTGTACAAATGCCAGAACAACAACAAAAAACCTCACAGCAATGTGAAACAGTGCAGCATGGACTCTTGAAATATGCACTGGCGCAGCATGTACCAGCACAGCATCCACAAGCACAAGCCATACCAACCCCCCACATACCCAAGAAACGAGGACCATATAAGACAAAGGACAAGTCTCTCAAAGCGATTAGCATCTCGCCGAAGAACAGAATAGTGGGTAGAGGTGGTATGGTCAGTTTGGGTCACTCGAAAGAAGTGACGGATGTGCTCAAGGCGCAGGCACAAGCACAAGCACAAGCACAAGTCCAAGTCCAAGTACAACCCCAAGCATCAGTGCAGCCTCGAAACGAGGGCGTAGACAAGGATGTTGAGTTGAAGTTAAATACGCCGCTATTCACAGATACCGCGTCGATAGTTGAAGATAAAGACGAGCCGGTGGATGGAGGTGCGGTACTGCCGCCGTGTCCGTATACGAATCAGACGGTGATAGCGACGGCGCAAGAACAACAGCAGGGAGGTGTGTCAATGGTGGGTAAGACGGCGGATGGCCGTGAGAAGGGGAAGGGGAGGGCGGTGTAGATATAGGTGGAGCATGAGGAGGTGATGGAGACATATGTGCCGTTATGATAGGACGTGAGATGGTGGTATAGACTGGGGGTTTGGACAGGAAAAGGTATCGTATCTTATCGTTAGAAGCACCCAACACCCATATTGTTAGGTCTCCATATCGATGTCACTCTTTACCTTCAGTACATGTTCCTGTACACCTCACGTCACCGCAAAAGAACTGTGTGTTAAAGCGTGAATGTTTTCATTCTTGATCCAAGTGGGTATAATGCGTCCGTCATCTATGTCGTTTCCAAAAACCTTCCTCCAGAACTCCTTGCCACGACCTCCATTCGGCATCCGCTAATGCAGATGCTAATCAGCTGAACTGATCGCCATGCTCACTCTCACCTCCAACACGGCGCCCAGCTATTCTGCCTTGGCTCAACTTCCACCGCCACCGTCGTTCCCGCTCGTCCTTCTCCCTCTGCTCACGTTGAGCTTTTTTACGTTCGTATACAGCGCGGACTGTGCGTTTTGTGCGTTCGGCACCTTCACTGTAGTTGGCACGAGCGAGATTCACTACGCTGTCGATTTGCTCCGGTGTGTAGACGAAATTCCAGGTCGACATGAAGTCGCTGACCTTGGGGTCAACACCGGGAACCTTTGGGTTGGCGAGGAAGGGGAAGTATATGACCGTTATACCAGAGGCGGGGTGCATGAGTTCCCAGTCTTCGTCTACTTGTTTCGAGATTGGGTGCTCGGTGTCGGACTCGCGTTCCTCGGTAGTACCGACCCAGATGTTGCAGTAGCCTAGATCTTTGCTCTTCTTGCTGTCCTTGTTTTCGTCGGCGCTTTTGTCCTTGGCTTCTTCGAATTTGGTTTGGACTTGTTGTTCCGTCTTGGCTTGAGCGCGTTCGAGGTCTTCTTGGAGGTCTTCCATGGGTTCGTCGTCTGGTGGCCAGCCGGCGCCGACGGGCCATCCCTTGATGCCGCGCTGGCGGGCGTAGCCATCAGCAACCTTGAGCCAGTTGTCGGTTTTGACATCGGCGGAAGCGTCGAAAGCGACGAGAATGTCAACGTTGCGTCCAGGTCGGAGAAGAGGATAGATGGGTAGATTGTTGGACATTCCAGCGTCCATGAACTGGAAGTTCTTTTGTTCAAAGATGCTTTCAGGACATGATGGGGGAAGGAGCTCGCGCATACCGAGGGCGTAGTTGGGCATGGCAGCAGGGTCGATCGGATGGACTTTGACGAGATCATCATCGCGCTCAGCGATCATGGCGTCTATACTGCTGCCGAGTCCTGTGATACTGCGCATGAGGGGTCGGATCTCTCGGTAGTAGTGTGAGAGGGTCGCACAGAAGGCGGACCCCCAGATCCCCATGAGCAACGGAACGCGCACTTCGGGCAGAGCCAGGCCATTCTCCCGCCAGACTGTGCGTCCGTTTTCAAACTGACGACCCATTGCCCAGGTGGGTATGCCAGAGGAAAGCTCCTCGCACCACATCTCGTACGGCGTAAAC